AAGAGTGCTCCCAAGAGCCAGAAGAGACTGACTAGTTTGAATCAATCTCTGCTGCCACCAGGCATCTGTGAAGTAGACCATAAGTTGCTAATGTAACCCAAAACTCCCTAATCAGCTCCCATTCCCAAGAAATCCTTTGGGGTAAGTGGAACACTTGAAGAAGCATTTGTGGAAGGTCTTGACAAAACTGCAGGGAAACTGAGTCAACTCAAATAAGTAACTGCCCCAGAATAACTCAAGAGGGCATCTACCCATCTTGGCATTGCCTGGGACAGACTCACTGCCAGTTCACAAGTTATAAAGTAAACCCTGCCCCCCTGAAGGAAGCATAAGGAAAATTCAATACAGGCTTCTCTTTCTTTAGTCTTTCCCAGGGTTGAGAGAGGGAGAGCAATCCAAAGCTGTCTCCAATGGGAATTTTGCTGGTGCTGTAGGATCATACATCTTTCAGCTGCCAGCAGCTGAGTGGAATGCTGATTTGCCACTGGACGACTGCCTCCCTTTAAAAGGCCCAACCGAGCACAAAGGGAAGCATACTAGCAATCTTTTACCCTGCTAGACTGGGCAGCACTAGTGACTGATCGAGTCCTTCAGCGGTTGTTCCCCTTCTGCAAAAATAAGTGTAATAGGTTTGTTTAAATCATGTATATATTACCAGAATCTTCAGTCTCCAGTGGGAAGTTGGTGTAGTTATCATCAACCACTTTTTCTTATGCTTAACAATATTTCTCAAGCACCCTGAGTACTTGACAAGGGATCAGAGACTAGTGAAATGCAAGATTCCTGGATGTCAACACAAGGGATTTCATTACATCAAGCATGGCTCAATGAAGCAACTCTCTAATTTCTAAGGAGTTGCTGGGGCAGAGAGGAGATACAGGTGTGAGGAAATTTCTTACCTAGGGGTGGAATGAACACGCTGTGGCAGATGACTCAGGGGAATAATTTTTAAACATGCAAATGATCATCTGCTACTCCAAGCATCTTAGCCATGATATACAATGTAAACTTTTGATTAACAGTAAAGTCTATGGCCAGCTAATAGACGTAACACCAAGTGGCTGCTTAGCAGTCAAGCTCTCCCTTTCATTAGCTGCTGAAGTTGTAATAGTTCATGCTGGGCCTCGTACAGATCCTATCCAACTACATAGGAAAAAAAAAATCCCGCGTGACTCATGTTGGAATTGGATCACACCCTGTGCCATGGCTGCTTTCTATCAGCAATAAGATTACAAATGTATAAACAATTCATACAAAGAGGAGACAAACCCAAACCACTCTACCAGAAACAAACTTTGCAGGTTCCTAGAATCGCAACGGGTACGACACCAGATCATGAGACAGACAAGAGGATCTAGCTCTGTGCCAAGCAGTGGGCCACATGAGAGATGTGAAATCACGTATCTGCTCCACTGCCTAAGAGTGGCAAATATCACGGTGGGAAACAGCCCGCAGTGTGAGGCTAGTCACAGCAGCTCTAACCCTGAAGGCTGCTTCCTTGTTCAGTTTTGAGATCCCACATGACTAGTTGGGTGGCAGATGTGTCAGTTGGCTCTGTGGGTATGTTGAACTCCCAAATGCAGTGGCAAAATGCTACAGATGCATAAGGTGTAGGGACCATGTCATAAGACCTTATGAAGGTAACGTCTCGCTCGCTAGCTTGAGACTTACCACATTTACAAAGAAAAACAAGAACAGAGTCCACCTTAAACTTCAGTCTTAAAAAAAAATCAATTCTGAGTCAAGATCCAAGAGTGACAGTAGACCATCTTTACCCAACTTTTAGCACCAGAGGCTTGACTCATGCCTTCTGGAGTCACTTATACTTCTAACGAGCAAGTGTAAAACACTATCATATCAGAATGACAGCCTTTGACACTCACTCAGCATGGATGCAGCTGACCACACACAAGGTGCAATGCAGTAGGAAATAAAACAAAAAAACTTGAAATAATAATCAAACCTCTTGAACCCTTGAGAAGGCTTCCCTGTATAGATCCAGCAGGGGTTTTGCAGTTCAGGTACATCTCTATTTACCATTCTGAATTCAGATTTTCAGAAGCAGAAACAAGTCTGTACAAGCAAACATTGCAAGGAACATTTTTCTGTCCAATTCAGGCTTCGCTTGTACTTTATATAATTTAGCAGCTTCATAACTTCATATAGGAGTCTCTTCCCCAGCTAAAACTACAGGTTAAATTCTTTGCCTATAACCCAGCCCAAACAACTGCATCACAGCTGGAGAGTATGTCTGTCATTATATTTACTTACACCACACAAAAATAAACTGTAGATAACCAAATTTGTAAAGGAATTGGCAGAACTAATCAATTGTTATTACAAAGCTTGTTTGAAGATTAGATATTCCGCTTTGAAATAATAATAAAATGCAGCTAAGTGGGTTAGGAAAAGGAAATACCGTCTCCCTAAGTTACAGCTGATTATGCTGCAAGTCTGCCACTCCATGTTTACTCTAAGGCAGATGTACTGATATAATAAAAAAAGCTGGAGTTATTTTAGTCATGCCTACTTTGCGGAGGGAAAAAGTTTGACCTTTTACCTTGCTCGCTGCTGTTGTCTCCGCTCTGGGAAGCATGGCCCCCACTGGAGGGCCCCGGTGTGCCTGCCGAGTGCGTTGAGGTTGCATCATCGTGGTCTCTCCAAGATGAAGGATTCTGGTGTCAGAGTGCCAAGGAATTTTTTCCACAGTTCCCATTCCAACAGCAAATGAAGAACAGAAAGAAAACCGGGAGAAGAGGGGAGGAAGGAGGGGAAAGTATACACATTAGCATTTGTGAAATGTGCCAAACACCGATACTGCTTGTGCAGTGTCATAATTCTTCAGCAAAGACAAGCAGAGGGTTGTGGGGTTTTCTTTTTTAAATTTTCCAAAGAGTTGTCTGGACTTAATTGTTTGAATAGTACTGCAGAAGAATATTTACGGGAAGAAAAAAAGTATTTAAGTTTCTTAATGAGCTATACAAGGGGGCAGGCAGGAGAGCATCAACCTGCACAGCTTATGATACTAGGTGTTCACATTAGGATCAGGATAGTTGGTACGCAGACTATCCCGCCACACTTTGTTTTTACAGATTGATTAGAGATGGGAGGGGGGAGGAAGAGGAGGAAGACTGTTTCAAGAAGTGGAGGAGGACATGGATGAGAGAGGAGTATGTCCTTACACCCTACCCTCTCTCTCACCCATTTGAATGCTGGAAAAACTTCAAGGAAATGCAAAGTTGTGAGGGAAAAAGCAAACTTTCTCTGAAAGGAGATGATGCTTCCTCACCACCCCCCCCCACCACCACCACCTTGGTATGACACATTTCAAAAGATTTTCTAGATGTATCGCTAACAGTTCACTTACAAGTAATGTCAAGAATAACCACCAGGTGATTATATAAAATAACATGTATAGTAATTTTTATGTAATTCTTTCTACATTACTACGCATAAAACATGACAAAAAGGTACACAGAAAACAGACATATGAAGTTTGCAAAACTTGGCTGAGTAAGACCTCAGCTACCGTACTTCAGTCACATAATTCATGCAAGCTTTTGAATTTATTGGGTATTGGCTTTCCTGAAGCAAGGAGCTGCTATTTAAAAGGGTAAGTGAGGAAAACTTAATGTTACAGTTTAGTGCTACTTTGTTGAGTGTATTCTCCTCCTGTCCTCCTCCCCTTTCCTGATCATTCCCAATACCCTGCTGTTGCTTAAAGGAAAACAGGAATTCTACTGTACAGGAAGAGCTTTATCAGCACCACATGAAGGCAGGCAAGAGATGGAATTTCCTCTGGCAGAAAAGGAGAGCAAGAACACATGAAACAGATCAGACTAGGGGCTGGACCTGCATTACTTGTCACCTGTATGTGACAATTTAAATCAAGTGTATTATAATAATTCAATAACAAAAACAAGAAAATCACCCTTTAAAAAATATTATTATTGTTTCTTATGTTTGATTGTGTTTTAAATCTGCATTGGGAAATAACACCGGACTATTAAAACACAAAGAGATCCTGAAAGCAGCAAGTGAAAAGTTTAGATAAATTCTTTGAGCAGGACCAATCCTGACCTATTCTACCCCGTTGTGTAGTAGGAATAAGCTCAACAAAATCAACTAATTTACCCATTGTAAAATCCAGTGTAAGTGTGATTGGAGTCAGGTCCCAAAATACATATTGAAACATCTCAAAGTAATCTCCTAGCACTGATCAGTACCACATGCTCTATAACAATGTGAAATAGAACTGCCAAATAACGGCCTGCTACAGTACCCAGTAACATTAATCTAATGGGCCTGACCCAGACTGCAGCAGAGACAAAGTGAAGAACCCATGACTTCAAAAGTTTCCCAGTAAAGCCCTAGGTGACCAAAGGGTAAGAAGGATCCAAATCCCCTTCACCTTCCACAGACACACGCATGCATCCACATACACGGTTCCACGGCAGGAAGATACACGTTATATCAGAAGACAGGCCAGGATCTGAAATTCGCCTAACCTGTCAGTGCAACAGACAGCACGACAGCACTTAGCACACAAAACCACCACCCTCTCCAAAACCTAGAAGACTGATCTACTTTTCCTCACACAGAACTGCAACAGGAAAGAAAAAAAAAAAAAAACCAACGGCCAAACAGTAGTATTTTATATTTATTGAGGTTGCTGTATTAATTAGGTCTCAGAAATCACTATTAATACTGTAACCTCCACAATTTCATTTAAAAAAGCCAAGAAAACATTTTACCATCATTTTACAGAGTCAGGTGAACGAAACACAAAAAGAAAGAGGAGAAGTCTGGAAAATTCAAGCAGCTCAGATGTTATTGAAAAAAAAAAAGGTTGAAAATAAGGTTAGCAAAAAGCTCAGATGGAAATAAAATATGAAAACTGAGCAAGTTCCTTTACAGCCTGGTTTAAAACAGAGTTGTGCCTATGAGCTTCTCTTTTTATCTCTGAGTTAGGAAGCCACTCAAATAGCTTCAAGCTGAAGGCAAACAGCAGACAGGAGCTCTTCAGCCCTCTGCAGCCTCTTAGCGTCAGCTGTTTGCCGGATGGTAATCAGATAAAGAGCTAGAAGAAATACATGAAAAAGGAAAGGAACAATAGCGTAGCATGAGTTTAGCCCTCCAACAACATCAGGCTGGAACCTTCTTTTAGAAAATGTAATAATTGCAACATGTTCACCTAGGCTAAACTTTTCAGGGAACACAGTGAGTTATGTTAATTTTATGCACTGCAGGCTCTCTTAAGCTGGCTGCTGTTGGAGCTCCTTATCACACATATGAAAATTACAATAATTAACTGGTAACACCTCAGCTATGTTTTAAGGCAAATGTCATCCAAAACCTATCATACAGTATTTCAAAAGCTAGACTGGCCTTTCTGTTTCAAAACCGTAATGATTTGGAAAGGATCACTGAATAAGAATTCCCGCAGCTGAAAACACTTGCTATCTCTACCAGGCTGAGTTGTTCTTGACCTCAGTTTGTGGATCCCGTTTTAGAAAGACAGACTGTATTGATTGGGAATTTAATGTATTTCTTGTGACACGGTTTTCTTGAGGAAGCAATTTGGCAGAATTTAGTTGAAGGACAGAAATAATAAGATGGGATATTTACAAGATGCGACAGTAGAATGTTGGAGGAATTTGAAACGGAGGAAAACAGCTAGGCTTTAATATTAGGAAAATTACAAATAACTCTAGGGGTGGAGTTTACAGCCTCATAAAAAGCCAGCATTCTTTTGCTTTGGACTAAAATCATTGTACGTGTCAGTGAACTTCTCCTTTTCTTCCCCAGACCATTTCCAACTTTGTATCCCTCAAGAAAATCTTCTTGGCCAAATGCCTAATCATAAGTAGTTATTTTATGTATGTCTTCACAAAAAAATGGGACCAAATGACACATCTAAAGTGTACTTCACTAGAAACACTTTATCGGTATAGTTTAGGTACCTAAAGAGATCCTGATCTAAAGCCCACTAACATTAATTGCAATTTTTCTATTAACTTCAATGAAAATCATATTAAGCTATCACGGAGAAATAGGGAAACAAACAAACAACAACCAAACCAAACAAAACAAAACCAGAAAACCAAATAACTTTAGAAAAATCACACAAGCTGTTAGCCTACCTTCTCATATCTTCTTGCAAATTTAGCAATAGACTTTGCAGAAACATGTTGAAGAGTGTGGATGATGTCTGCCAAAATGCAATTGCCTGTTTTGTGTACGTATGCATATTATAAAATTTTCACACACATATGACCTAAACTAATGCCAGATACTGTAGAAGGTAAACAGCACGCATGTATCTATTCCCAGTAGTTTTAATAATTGGGAGTCAAATATGGTGCTCCTCTTGCTCTTACTTAATTGTGTTAAAGAGCAGTGTTACCAGGAGAAAAGCAGTGAATACTGAGTAGAGCACAATAGAAGGAGATGGAAAATAGATACAAGAAGCTAGGTCTCCAGGGGCAGTATTTTCTATTTGCTGGGCTACAGACTCGCAGCTGATAATGCAAGTTGTAATTAATATAAAAGCAGGAGACAATATGGGGAAAGCTTGTACTAGCAGGGCCACAGGAGATCACTCTGCTGCTATCCACTGTTTCTCATTTACACACACAGCCTTCCCTAGAAAACACAATTTTGCCAGTGTTTTTTCCCTTGAAAGTTCAAAAAAAAATTGATTTAGCACCATCATTGAATTTTGCTAAATCTAGGAAAGAGCAACAGAAAGGACAAGAGTCTCCTGGTATACAAAGCAAATCTGACACGTTACTCTTTTGTCGATTCTGCAAATCTGGTGGAAACTGTAAGAGTTCTTAACTGCTACAGGATTTCTTGAACAGAGATGTTGTAACAGAGAAATTTGATACAGGATAACCTTCTGTTACATTGCAATTCTTACTTTGTATGCCCAGAATTTTCATTGGGTGAAGTCTGGCTAATTTTTTGTGAGTGTATGCCATCCTGCTAAGGATGATTCTGATCTCACACTGCTTTTTATGGTGATATTAAAGACTCAATTAACCATAAGGAATTTGCTTCTTATTTATAACTGGGAAGTAAAATCAATCTGGCCAGCTGATACCCATGTGAGTACGCTGAGCAAGATTTGGCTTACAGATGTTAAGATGTTAACTGAAGTTTCAAGTAACAACTGTGACAGGATCAGGCCATTTTTCAGATGAAATAGACAAAACCATTGACCTTGCAGGAACAAATAAAACACAACTTATTTTCATAAAAGAAACTACAACAGCTATAGAGCTCATTCTTTGTGAAGGTGGTTGGACTCAAAGGTCTGGAGGTTGCAATTAATTTTGCAAACACAAAACTGAACTGAGCTACTGATATGGATGGCATTTCCCCCCTCAAATACAAGCCAAATCATGCTCACCTTGTCCTTACAAGTAACATCTGTAAACACAGTGGAACCACTGACATAGTTGAGACCACAAAAATCTGTATCTAGGTACCACCGTATATAAAAGATGATATACTATGCCAGACATAGAAACCTATACACATACATGCACACATGTTTCTGTGTGTGCATCCGTATCTCTCTATGCGTTGTATGTATAAAGCTCAGGATGGTATCTAAGAGAGTGTTATAGTAATAATAAACTTCTTCCGTAAAGAAACTTTCAATAAGTAA